CCCCCCCGCCCCCGCCCCCACCCCGGCCTCCCCTGCTCCGGCGGCCCCGCGCCACGGCTCCTTCACGCCTCCCCGATGGCCGAGCGAAAGAGCACCAACAAGTATTACCCGGCGGACTTCGACCCGGCCGGCGGGTCGCTGAACACCCAGCGCGGGCACCGGGTCCAGCCGCGCGACTCGCGCACCGGCGAGGCCATCGTCCGGTTTGAGCTGCCCTTCGCCGTGCGATGCCTCCAGTGCGACCACCGCATGGACCGGGGGGTCCGCTTCAATGCGCGGAAATTCCTCACAGGCCGGCGGTACCACAGCACCGCGGAGCTGGCCTTTCGTCTGCGCTGTGCCTTGACCGGCTGCCCGGGGGAGTTCATCGTGCGCATTGACGCCGCCAAGCGGGACTATGTCGTCGATGAGGGGGCCCGCCGGGTGGACCTGGCCTCGCTGCTGGAGCACCATGATGGGCGCCCGGCCGACGGGTCGGCCCCGATCGTGGACACGGCCGAGGTCCTGCGCGAGGCGCGCGAGGCGCGCTCCCTCCTGCAAGCGGTCGAGCATGATGCCCAGGCCCGGCGCTCGGTCGAGGAGGCCAATGCCGAGCTGACGGCCATCCTGGTGCGTGATGGCTGCCCTTCAGGCGCCCGGCCTGGGCGGCGAGGGGGGGGGGGGGAGAGAACAAAAGCCACGCGCTTCGTCTGTCTGGCGGCCCGGCTGCTGACTTGCTTGCCATTCTCGCGCGGGCCCTTCCCGGTGCCGGTGCATGTGTGTGCCGTCTCTGTTCGCTCGGTCGGCCGGCCATCGGGCCATCGGGCCACGCTGCTCCCAGGCGCACCCCAGCCAGCGGACCGACCCGCTGGATGATGCCCGCGACCTGCGGGCCAGCTTTCGCCAGGACCGCCATGCGCGCCGAGCCACGCTCCTGGCGGACCGCCGGTCGCTGCGTGCCGCAGGCTTGCCGGTGGCGCTGGCCTCTTCGCGCCCCTTGTCGCAAGGCCCCGGGGGTCCGGGCGCACCGGCCGGCCGGACTGCCCGGCAGCAGGACGCCCAGCTGGCCGGCCTGCTGGAGGAGGTCATGGGCCCCGGGCATGCGCACCTGGCCGGCGTGCGAGATGCCCTGACCGGCGCCTCGGCCCCGAGCCCCAGGGCCTCCGGGATATCGCCCCCACGAGCCGACGCCGAGGTGGCCGACGCCAGCGTGCCCATGCGAGACCGGGCCCTGGCGCGGCTGGCCCCGCCCAGGCGCCCGGCGACCGCCGCGATCTCCGGCAGCCTGGCCCGGCAGCTGACGGCCGTGCGTCAGGCCCGCGTCGCCAAGGCCCCGCGCAAATAGACCGGCGCCCGTGACGAGGGGTGTGTGTGTGTGTGTGTATATTGTTTGGGGGCATGGACGCAGGTGCCCAACGGGGGGGGGGGGG